AGGTGCTATATCTAGCCTAGTACTAGGTGCTATAGATAGCCTAGTACTAGGTGCTATAGCGAGCCTAGTACTAGGTGCTATAGATAGCCTAGTACTAGGTGCTATAGCGAGCCTAGTACTAGGTGCTATAGCTAGCCTAGTACTAGGTGCTATAGTGAGCCTAGCAGTAGGTGCTATAGCGAGCCTAGTACTAGGTGCTATAGCTAGCCTGGTGAATAGTCACTGCTCTGTGTCTAGTGATTGGTGGATTATGGAGGATATCAAACACAGTCCATGTCAGATCTTTTACTTAACTTTCGGCTCCAGCAAAGCGGAATTTCTAGTGACGGTTTTCAGACCTGATCTCAGATTTCCGAGGTAAATGGAATGCATCATAACACAGGGGGCGTTAACGAGCAGCCGGGATGAAAATAAAACCCCGAAATGATCACGCCTCAATAAATACAATCACTGATCCCCCTGGTTCACCGCGAATCGACCAGGAGCATTTCCTGAAAGCTGATAAATAAATGTCTCATCGTTGTGTTGTGTTTCAGGCTAAACATTAAAGTGTTTCCGTGTCCAATGGACGGTTCCCTGCGGCACAGAGTAATGTTAGCACTAAGGGCTAGAGGACAATGTGACTTTTCACAGCAAACAAACTCAAAGTGACTCAACAGAACACATTAAAAACAACAAACATGGTGGTTCTCAGAGAGCTGCTCCTCCGGGCTAGCTAGCATCCTCTGGAGCAGCTTCTCCAGCAGGCAGAGCTGAATACCGGCCGCAGGAGGAGGAAGAGGCCGTTACCTACTGGGAGCCCAGTCTGGCGGAGGACGCATCCAGATGTTAACCCCTGGAGTTTTCTTGGAGTGGGTTTTAAATGCGGACAGGTGCCATCGCCCAGCATGTACAGTAGCTGTCTGAATCAGACCGTCAAACTGCGCCTCCTACCGGCCACACGTGGAAACATCCGTGTCTGCGCTTCATGTCTTTTTTTTTGTTGCAGATTCTTTCTTTCAAATATATTAACAGCTTCTAACATTAATTGGACTTCTTTAGAAAATATAAACTTTTTTAGCTTTTTCTTTGTCTCTGTACCATGGTCTTTAGAAAATGAATGACTTCATTTGTATAGGCTAACTGGAAAACCAGGAAACTGGATTTATCCT